ACCAGGAAGTGAGGTTATTAGCAAGTTCACCTTCAAAATTAAAGCTTCTTAACATTTTAAACTCTTTTTACTGTTCTTTTTAACTTAAATACATACAAAAGAATTATTTTAAAGCAAACATTAAAGATAAATAACATAAATGCCTTTGAGGCATCACATTATGACAAACTTAATTTATCCTTATCTTAAATGGTTAAAACTTCAGTGTGATTGTTCTTATTGTTCATGCCAGTTCATAATAATTAACCCATTTCCACTGACTGCATTTTGCAACTTGGTGCTTGGTGTTCTTTTCTATTATTTTAGATTCGAGTCCTATTTAATTAAAAGTAGAGTTCAACTTTGGAGAGCATTTTTAACTAAATGGTTTAGCAAAGCATTAAAGAAAGTAAATATTCAACTTAGTTTTATGTTATTCTGTTGGACTGCTTAAACTGGCACAAGGGAGAACCAGGTCAAGTCATGGCTTTCCTCTGATAACATTGTTATGCAGATACTCTGTCCATTTCTTCACTCAGATCCAGACACAAGTATACATAATATGAACAAACACCAGAGAAAGAATTGAGGACACCAGAAGAATCAACTTGGCTTGCGGGGACATTTCCAGTAGACTAGAAATATTCAAAACAGTCTCTATTTTGAATTTTTCGTTTCTCCAACTGTGTTTTATAGAGCAGAACCTAAAATAAATCATTGTTAACGTGAAACCTAAGAAAAAACCAACTCTGGACAAGCAGACATTCTTAAAATCTGCTTAAAAGTAGCCTCATTTCGTAGCTGTATAATTAAGTGTGCTCCGCCTCTTATGTAACAAACAACGCTTCAGGTGTTCTTGTCCACTGCTTCTAGGAAGACAAAAACTTTCTGAACATGGGAGATGATACACATGGACTCAATCTGCAGAGGGAAGTGGGGATCATAGTAGCAGTTTCCTTCATTGGTGGAACCATGATTGGATCTGGGATCTTCATTTCTCCCCAGTACGTCCTTTCCACTATTGGGAGCTGTTGCGAAATCAGTTTGACCCCGGTTCTTTTATTCGTCGAGGCATCCAGAGACGGCACCGAAACTCAGTAGTTATTTCACAAAATCTTTATTCATCTTTATTCATCTTCATTTAAGCATGCACTTCTAGAAGGGAAGACGAGGCCGGTGTGTCCCTCTGCAAAATCTTCACCCCTTTGTTAGTTACAGCCCCCCCCCAGCTTCATTATATGGTCCTGCTGTGGACTGATAGCCATGCTGGGGGGTCTGTGCTATGCTGAGCTGGGCACTATCATACCAGAGTCTGGAGCTGAGTACATTTACATACTGCGGACTGCAGGGAAAGTGGTGGCCTTCATGTTCGTCTTCAGCTTCATCATGGTCATGAGGCCGGCTAGTGGCACAGGAGTCGCTCTCATCTTTGCTGAATATGCTGTGGCCCCCTTTTACAGCGGCTGCACTCCTCCACAGATGGCAGTGAAGTTCGTGGCTGCCGTATCAATCTTGGTGCTGGCTATAATCAAATGTCTGAGCGTCCGCTTGGCCACAGGCATCCAGGTGGTCACCATGGCAGTGAAGGTGGTGGCCCTGGTGGTGATCATCCTGGGAGGCATTGTGATGCTTTTCCAGGGCCGCACTGAGAACTTTGAGGACTCATTTGAGGGAACCAATGCAGGGATCAGCTCCATTGGCATTGCTTTCTATCAGGGCTTGTGGTCGTATGATGGCTGGAACACTTTAAATTGTTTAACCGAGGAGGTGAAACATCCAGAAGTGAGATTTTCAATATTTACTATTAGTAGTTTATAGAAAGTCAAAATAAAGATGAAGCATGCCAACACTGTGCGTCTTCACTCATGATTGTGCTTTTTTTTTTTATCTTCTTACAGATTTAGATGAGTAGGCCAGGACAAACTGTAGTAACCTGAGAACTGATATTGGTTTAGGATATAATAATCCAAACCAACTGGTGGCTCATTGGTGCAGTGGTTAGCACTTTTTCCACAGCTAGAAAGCTGACGAGTTAATATTTAATTGAAGGCAAAACAAGTATATTTTACACCACGTGATTTCTTTTGAAAGCTTTTTCTACGCAGTGTGTAGCGTCTGAATTCTTTGTGATCTTTCTCAGTCTGCTCTGTAGACGTGTCGTTTTGTGCTCCCTGCTCTCTCTCACCATGGCGGACAAAACCCCAAAAAACGAAGGCCTGCAACTGAAGAGGCAGATTGGATTGATTGGTGGTGTCGCAATAGTTTCTGGAACCATGATTGGATCCGGTATCTTCATGTCCCCACAGTATGTCCTGGCGTATGTGGGAAGTCCTGGGGCCAGCATGTTAATCTGGTTTTTTTCAGGTGTTGTGGCTTTGCTTGCAGCTCTCTCCTACACTGAGCTTGGGACCATTATTCCTGAATCTGGTGGGGAATTTACTTACATCCTGAGGATCTATGGTTCATTCCCAGCCTTCTTTGCGGCAATCACTTTCATCCTGCTTTTGAAACCTTCCAGCATTGCAGCAATGTCAATGACCATTGCACAGTATGTCATGGCTCCCTTTTACCCAGGCTGCCCACCTCCTCAGCTGGCTGTGAAATGCTTTGCAGCTTTTAGTATTCTGGTAGTTGCCATTACCAACATCCTGAATGTCCGATTTGCTCTGAGAGTGCAGGTGATCTTCTTGGTGGCCAAAGTGTTTTCACTCACTTTCATTGTAATTGGAGGGCTAGTGGAAGTGTTACAGAGCAGCACTGTGATCGAGGAAAATTTTAATGTTGAGAATGCTTTTCAAGGAACTCAGTTTTCTTTGAACACTCTGGGAAAGGCTTTACTTCAAGGCCTCTGGTCTTACGGTGGCTGGAGCAACTTGAATTATGTGACTGAGGAGCTGAACAAACCAGAGGTGAGGCTGAAAGGGTCTGAAGTGACCTGAAATAGTAGCATTTATTCATGCTAAATTTTTCAAATACAGCTTAAAACCTGTCCAGAATGATTTGATTCTTTACTGTAAAAGATGCCTATATGCTGCTATATTTTCTTCCTTAACTCTGAATTTGTATTTCAGGTAATTTATTGACTTTGTCCTAACACAGGATGTCTATAACACTCTGTAAATCAGTGCAGTTAGCTTGTTAATGTTTGACACCATGCAGCCCCACGCACACGGCGGTAATGGAGATTTGCCGCGTTAATGCAGTTATGGCATTAACGTCATTTTAACGAGATTAACGCTGACAGCACCAATAATAATATGACTGTTTAAATAGGAATTTAATATTTTTAAAGACTTGGTGAATTCTTTAAAAATACCTCAACTTATGACAAACTTAATTTATCCTTATCTTAAATGGTTAAAACTTCAGTGTGATTGTCCTTATTGTTCATGCCAGTTCATAATAATTAACCCATTTCCACTGACTGCATTTTGCAACTTGGTGCTTGGTGTTTTTTTCTATTATTTTAGACTCGAGTCCTATTTAATTAAAAGTAGAGTTCAACTTTGGACAACTAAATGGTTTAGCAAAGCATTAAAGAAAGTAAATATCCAACTTAGTTTTATGTTATTCTGTTGGACTGCTTAAACTGGCACAAGGGAGAACCAGGTCAAGTCATGTCTTTCCTCTGATAACATTGTTATGCAGATACTCTGTTACTTTCTTCACTCAGATGAGGCCCTGTCTAATCTTTTACTGAAAGTACAGGGTTTTTTTTTAATCTTCATGTAGGTCACGTAGATCCAGACACAAGTATACATAATATGAACAAACACCAGAGAAAGAATTGAGGACACCAGAAGAATCAACTTGGCTTGCAGGGACATTTCCAGGAGACTGGAAATATTCAAAATAGTCTCTATTTTGAATTTTTCATTTCTATTTTGAATTTTTCGTTTCTCCAACTGTGTTTTATAGAGCAGAACCTAAAATAACTCATTGTTAATGTGAAACCTAAGAAAAAACCAACTCTGGACAAGCAGACTAAATTCTTTTAAATACAGCTTATAATCTTTGATAAAGATTCTGCTGGGAAATATGATTGTTTTCTTGCTGCTATCCTGAGAAAAATGACCACTTACCTTTTTCCCCCCTAAACTCTGAATTTGTGTTTCAGGTAATTCATTGACTTTGTACCAACATATACCCCTACAATGCTTAAATCGGTGTTTAAAGTGTCTGAGGTGACTAAAGAGGTACACGAGTTGGCATTGTTAGGATTGTTGTAATTGCAGTGAAATTGCATGAAACTTGGTGCTTGGTGTTGCTTTGGGAGCATTTTCCCCCACACGGTTTGGCAAAGTATTAAAAAAGTAAATATTCAATGAGGCTTTGTTTTGTCATGAGAGACTGCTTTGTTAATATGTGTAATCAAGGTTTAGCCAAACTTTACAACCATGTCATGTCATGACATTTTATTTCATATCTTTTTTTTGTACAGGTGAATCTTCCTCGGGCAGTGCTGATAGCCATTTCTCTTGTGACTACTTTGTACCTGCTGGTGAATGTGAGCTATCTGGCAGTAATGACGCCTAAAGAGCTCGTGTCCTCAAGCGCGGTAGCAGTTACCTGGGGGTAAGACAACACCTGTTCTCAACCTGATAAGATCTTTTTTTTTTTATTACTTCTCCCATAGAACAGGAAGCAAACCTGAAGAAATCCTCTTCTCTGTACAATCATTTGATATGTGCATTAAAATTACTGATGGTCAAACAAATGGGGCTTTTGTAAGTTGAAAATACAGACTGTATTTAAAGATGGATGTTGCAATCCTGTCTCCATTTTGAATCCTCTGTATTAGCATTTTAGCTCCCTGCCATGTTGATACCAGAGATTAAATCATCCAGTGGGATTAATAGGTGATTAATAGGCAATTTAAATCTGCCCACTGTGCAAGTAATTATGAAACTTATCTTACACAGTTGATGTGATTTCTCGCAAGACTCATCAATCCACTGTAAGGAAAATTACTTAAGAATCGCCTCCAAACACTTCAAACATAGAAGGAATGGCAGCAAAGAGCATCACTACAGTTAGGTGCTCACTTCTGGTGTCACACAAATACCAAGAGATATTAGACCCCTTCTCTTCACCGTCTCTATGTTCCTCCTTGGTCAGATCATCCACCGCCATGGTCTCTGCTTCCATTCCTATGCTGATGATACACAACTTTATCTCTGTACTAAACCCTCTACCCTGCTCCCCCACGATCACTTCTCAACCGTCTGCATGAAATAGAAATATGGATGTCAATTAACCTACTCAAGCTCAACAGTAATAACGCAGAGGTCTTGGTTGAGGCCCCTAAAGCCCTACTCCAGAAGACTGGCCATCTACTTATTGATATAGACCAGGGGTAGGCAACTGCAGGCCTCGCGTGCCAGTTTCCTGCAGGTTTTAAATTTGTCCTTGACCCAGCACAACTGATTTAAATGGCTACATTACCTCCTAAACATGTCTTGAAGTTCTCCAGAGGCCTGGTAATCAACTAATCATTTGATTCAGGTGTGCTGACCCAGGGTGAGATCTAAAACCTGCAGGACACAGGCACGCGAGGCCTGGAGTTGCCTACCCCTGATATAGATGGTTTCCTCATCTGGCCTTCCTTCAACGTTTGCAATCTGGGTGTCATTTTGGAACTCTCTCCCATATGAACTTCTCAACAACCCGTCACTGGAGTCCTTCAAGAAACTTCTCAAAATTCACCTCTTCAATAAAACCTTCGATCTCTAAGCCTTTTTTATTTATTCTGTTTTGTAAAGCGTCCTTGGGTTTCTTGAAAGGCGCTTTACAAGTCTAATGTATTATCATTATTATTATTATTATTATTGTTATATAGGCAGAAGGGGCCTCAGAACAGATGTTTGTAGTGTTAAACCTAGTCACACCAGCAAAGGCCCCATTCAACACCTTTCAAGACTAATATTACATTGAGGTGACATCACATCCTGTCCAAAAGGTTTATTCCTAAATATGTCCACAGAAGATGTTTTTGATTTAATTTGTTAAATTACTGAAATGTATATAGAAAAGGGTTGATTGATATGCACTACAAGATTTTTTATAATACAAACGGTTTTCATGCAGGAATAAGGTGCTGGGCAGCTGGGGCTGGGTCATGTCTGTGGCCGCAGCCTTGTCAGCTTTCGGTTCTCTAAACGGGACGTTCTTCAGCGGCGGCCGTGTGTGCTTTGTTGCTGCCCGGGAAGGACACATGGTAACAGTCTCTCTGTCTTATAAGAACACACACACCTGTTTAAAATAAAGCTACGTACAGATTTTTACACAGACCAGTGCTGGTTTTGCAGCCAGATATTCTGTCCATGGCCCACGTCCACAGACTGACTCCATCTCCGGCGCTGATCTTCACCACAATAATCTCTCTGGTGGTGCTGATTCCTGGAGACTTTCAGAGTATCGTCAACTACTTCAGGTGAAGGCTGACTCTGTTTCTGCTCCATTTCTACTTTGTTTGGGGTTGTTTTTTTTTAAGCACACATTGCTTTTTTTGTTTGTCTTTAATTTCTCTTCCTCTGCCGTTTTCAGTTTTAGCGCCTGGTTTTTCTATGCCATTGTCCTGTCTGGGCTCATCTATCTCAAAATCAAGAAGAAGGACCTCCCAAGGTCGTACAAGGTTAGTGTCATCATTGTTTTCACATTACATGACAATAACATCTTGTCCTCATGCCTGGTTATTCCTCTCCCCACAGGTTCCCATTGTAATTCCTATACTGGTCCTCATTGCAGCGATATTCCTCGTGCTGGCACCCATCATAGACAATCCTCAGATTGAGTACCTCTACGTGGCTTTATTTATCTTAAGTGGCATTGTAGTCTACATACCCTTCATCCATTACAAGCTCTGCCCAAGAGTGCTGGACAAGTTAACAGTGTTCTTGCAGCTCTTCTTAGAGGTCGCCCCTGCAGACAAAAACCTGTAATTTCTACTGAACACACATGGATAGCATCTTTGATAACATGCAGATAACTGAAAGCTACCAATAAAATAAGCCTTTTTCCATGAATTATCCTTGCATGTTAAATTACATCTGATAATGCAGTGTTGCTGTTTTATTTAAAGGTGCATTTAAAGTGTTTTACTTGCATTTTTAAATTGATGTTATTGTAAATTCACAACTTTCATTTAAGCTCATTGTAAAAGATCGTTTGCAAGATGTTTAAGTTCAAAATTCATTAAGATTTACAGGGGGACACAAATCCATATTTGTCATTGAAAAACATTGATTATCTTTTTTTAATACAATAAACACTAAAACACGCTATAATTCAGCATTGCAGGGGAACTTACAGCTCTGCCATTTACTGCATGTCAGTCATACCTTGCTGTCACTTTATAATCAACAAAAAAATAAAGTATTTCAAACATATCAGCGAACTTAGTGCTCCTGACATTTCCTGATTTCTTGCAATATTCAGATTCTGTTTGTATTCGTCTGTACTCGCTACAAGTTTGCGTGAATAAGCATCACAAAAGCATCTGAATGGAGCAGATCTTCATGAAGTAGATGTGCTTTTTGGGTCTGAGAACACTCGTACAGATGTGTGAATTAAAAAGAAAAGAAAAAGTTTATTAAATATTTTTCACCAAATTGCTAAAACAAGACATTGTCAATTTATAGTGCAACTTTCACGAGACAGGACATAAATCAGGGGAAAGCAAGGAAAAGAGAGCGTGTATGAATATGCTGTTTATTCATATTTAGACCACTTTTGGATTGGCGTTCAGAGAAGTTTGGCAGTTTGTGTAAAAGCCACATTCTCAAAATTAAGACTGGAAATTTTCTTCAGCTCTAATTTTCAGATACTTAATAAATTTCATGTTGACAGTTTGGAAAAATCCCTTTCTTCCTCAAAGCTTAAATTATTTAATACCATTAAGATTAAAAAAAAAAGAAGCTTTTCCAAACAAAACAAAATTTAAAGTATTTTTTACGCGTTCTTTATGTGTGTGAAAGTCTTTTAATGACAATCTGACTGATCCATCACTCTACTCCAGTTTTCTTCTCTGTGCCATTAGCAGCAGTTGACCTGTTTTCGCCACTCTGCTCGCCTGTCTCGCCTTTGCCCCCCAGTGGTGACTGGTGGTACAGCTTGTAAAGCCTCTCTGCATACTGGTCTGCATCCTCCACCCCCTCACAGCACCTTATCCAGGACTGAGGGACGGTCTCGATGCCGTAGTGGGCCCCCGCGATGGCCCCAGCCATGCAGGCTATGGTATCAGTGTCCCCTCCCAGCGCCAGGCTGTACGCTATCGTCCTCTCCACGCCGCCGTAGCTCTCTGGGAGACATTCCCGGGGTTGCAGGCAGTGGAGCACACAGAAAATTGCAGTGGGGACGGAGTGAAGAGCTGCAATGCCATTACCTGGTAAAAGTCACAAAGAGAGGGGCGTGTTTTTGTGGTGGCAGTCAAGAGAAACAGGAAATGTCATGTAAAAAAGGAAGTGGATCGGGGCCTTATTGCACATGTGGCTTGCTCCCTAACCCCCATTAATACTTCCTCATATACTAAAAGATAAATAAGATGGGGAAATTTACTTAGAATAAATCAGGAGAAATATATCTAAAATTTTAAAAATATATAGTAATGGTGGGGTTTTTTTTTTTTATCATGTTCTTTGTCTTTACAGTGTTTATTTGATGATGGCTTATTCAACCAAGTTGGTAATAACCCCTCTGTATTAAATTTTGCTCCCCCTCTGATATTCAGCTCCCAACACAGTCTCACTGTGGGCGTGGCAGATTGCAGTAATAGTCAGAGTGGTGGTTTTGAATGACTGATTCTGTAACAGGGGCACGGTGGTATGAACAAAACTGGGCAGGCTTCATGAATCTAAATGTAATTTTGCATGTACACTTCCTAAAAAAACCCAGATCCAGATTCAGATTGACTCTTAAAGTCACCTCTAATTTTAGATCAAACCCAAAATCTGTCAATAAACCTTTCTTATGGAATTCTTTAAATAAACATTTCCGTAATCCTGAAAACAAACAAACTCGATCACATACCCCTCCTCATCAGCGATAAATAATCATACTGACCCAGTTCAGAGATGACTTCCTCTATGCTAACTTTGCTCCTGTCCATCAGGTCTCTGATTCGGTGGAGACGTTCACAGAATGGCTTCTCTGCTTCTTTTAAACTGCAAAAGCATACATTAAAAATATATACATCTCACACGGCATGAAAAGGGATGTTTCAACCTTTAAAAACACATTTTGAAAGACATAAATCCCTCCTAAGGTTGTTTTTTCTGACTCAGAATTAGCCTTTTGATGTGAAAGTTTAATTTAAAAAGTAATTGAGTCCGAGTTACCTTGTATGACAAAGACTTGTAAGATAATGTCTATTATGCTTCAGGGAATAAAACCTCAAATAAAAAACATAAGTTACAGAAAAACTACAATGTTTTCCTTTGGAGGAAAAACCCTGTTCGCTTTCGCTGCCTCTGACCAGTCTACTCACATTCTTGCATCATTGCGTGCAGTCTCATCACCTTCCACTTCCTCCATCTCTTTAATTAGCCTGCTGATGAACTGGTGAGGCAAGTCCAGTGCCCCCTGCAGAGACAGGTGCACAGCTAACGCTTGCAGCACCGCCCCATTATAACCCAGAGAGCAGGAGTGCGTCAGCATGGCGCCCAGATGGGCAAACTGCAGAGAAAAAGAGCAAATTTAAAGATGTTGTTTCTATCCGATCCATTGGAGAGAGAAAACTCAACATTCAAAAGACCCCTGCTCACCCTTTTAACATCAGACAAGTCCGGAAAGGCCAGGGCAAAGGGAGCTGCTCTCATGGCCCCTCCATTTCCAAAGGAGCCCCGACCGTTAAACTGGTCCCTCGCTGGCTGATACACGTCATTTAACTGGGGGGATGAGAGCTTCTTCAACACCTGGATCACTCCAGCACCATAACCACGATGTGGGGATGCACTGTACTCCTTTGCAAACCTAAAAATGGTGAGTCACCGAGGTAGGAACCATCATCAGCTTACCCAAAGAGCCTTTGGATCCATATTTAACTCCTTAAATCCTTTTCCTTATTTTCTATCATATATACACACTGCTCCAAATGTGGAGCCTCACATTAAACATGTGCAAAGTTTCCAAAAATTTATTTGTTGCAAT